AATGTCAGCAGAATAGAAATGGATTGAGGTTTCCATAGAAACCACTCCTAGCTTCAGGTGTTTCTCAGGGCGTTTTGTTCCATTAACTGTTTGGAGTAAGAAGGTATAAATTATGGCTTTCCCGAAAGTTTTTATTCTTTTAATTTTATTAAATTTATGGGGGTGATATTGGTTGATAAGGTTATGTAGGTTTCAAGTGTAATGGTATTTTCCCTCCTCCTAAGAAGCGGGTCAGTACCACATTCTCCTTTGTTCTCCTGCATTTTTGGCAGCCTCTGTCACAGCCTTTCCCCTCCAGCTGAGAAACTGGAATGAGCTATTTCGAAAGCTTGACAAATCTTGCCCATTAGTGATGGCTGTTCAGACAGCATTTCTTCTTTTTGGCCAGAAAGGAAATTTGAAAACCTCGGACCTAGAAATTTATGTAACGCAATTTTATATCAAGATTTATGTAGTCTCTATGAAATGTTGCCAATACAAGAGATTAAGGACAATTGCAATGACTCTGTGAACCCAATCAACAATAACCAAAGGGGAGGGTGTTAGTATAAGTTTTGAGTGTAAACTCCAAGACCAAAAATAATTAAATCTTTTAATCTAGACAGTAACTAATTAATTGCCTGGAGGTATAAGATCCCTTGCCATAACATAGGGAGAGAAATGAAAAAGGAAAAAACCTCTTCAATTCAGAGGTAATACAATGACTCAAGTATATTACCCGCTGTCATGCTTTCCCGTAAGTTACATTAGAAAATGGAAAGTGAATAGTGGACTACAGAGTGGTCCCCGGCTACAAGTGGTATGATTAATAAAGAAAAGCCAACACAAAATAGGATAATAATAGAAAACCACCACAACTATGCCTTGGAGTAACCTTGGAGGCTGACCTGGTTGGAAAGCATGCATGGGCTCTGAAGTCTGACAGCTCACTTTACATCTTGCCATGGCCACTTGCTGTCTAGGATCTTGAGTAAACCCCTAAATCACTATACAAGTCAGTTTCCTCATTTAAAAAGAGAGGATAATTCCTACCTTGCAAGGTTTTGTGAGGATTAGAGGTAATGGGCAAGGCCCTTTCTTATCAATGCATTTATTACTTTGAAAGCCTGCAGTCAGGAAGTGGTATGGGATGAACAATTCCTTACATCACAAAAACAAGCATTAAAGAACTAATCTCATAAAATTAATATCCTTTCAAACATTCCCCCCACCTCAACATCAGCATCTTTTTTGGTTTGTTTCAAATTATTTGACAAAAAGAACACAAATTATTTGACAATTTTTAGCTGATTATTTGAAGTTTATTATATCTCATGCAATTATAGTGCTCATTTATAATGAATTAAAAATGCATGTCTTAAAGAAGGCACAGAATTTCATGAAACACATAAAAATGATAATGGAGAACTAGAGAGAGATGTAGCATAGATTAGTGCCAGGTGCTACTTATTCAAATACTAGATCCACAAGTTACTAAATGTATAACCTTGCATGAATATCTTAACTTTTCTCTGTCTCAGTTTTCCCATCTATAAAATGATAATACTATTTACTGCAATGATTTGTTATAAGAATTAAATAAAGGTAATATTTATAAAGTGCTTAATATAGTGCTTGATAAATCATAATAAATACATGGGTATTTATTAAGTTAAAAAATTTACAAACAAAAAAATAACTGATAGCAAAGCCATTTAAAACAAAGTAGGATGATTCAAACTGAAGAAAATCCAGAAGACTCATGAAAAGGTAGAAACAAAAAGAAATAATGATTTTAATATCATAGAGATTGAGAAGCATTTGCAAAAGTGGATGAAGGGCCAGATTATTTTCATACAAAAAAAAGTGACCATATTTTTTACTGGACAGCTCAAGTCAAAGATGAGCCTGTGGTGGCTGGTTTCCCAGATGTCACCCAAGAAACCTCACTTCCTGTTATGCACACTCTCGGTAATCCCCACCTCTCACATAGTACCAGGCTGGGTCTGTGCAACCAAGAGCAGAAGGGATGATAGGTCACTTTCAAGATCAGGCGGTAGAGGACACAGCTGCTTCCTTCTTAGTCATCCCCTTGCCCATTCTCTCAGTCCCTCTAATCTCACTCTGGGGAAAGACCCTTGTCTTGCTACAGCAGGTCTCTGGAGAACCCAGGTGATAAGGATCTGAGGCCTTTGTCCAAAAGCCTGAGAACAACCAAAGACTCCTGCCAGCAGTCATGTGAGCTTGAAAGCAAACCCTCTAACTCTGGGATGCCTTCAGGTGACTACAGCTGTTTTAACAGCTTATCTGCAAGCTCATGACAGAGTCTGAGCCAGAACCATCCAGCTAGGTCATTCCCAACCTGCTCCACCAAAACTGGGTGAGATGATAAATGTCAGTATTTTGAAGCTACTAAGTTTAGGGGTTATTTGCTATGTAGCAACAGGTAATTAATACAGAATTAATACAGGAGTGTGGTATTTTGCATTTTTAATGAAAAAAAATCACACCTCCCATGTAGATGTAATTTACAGTGTTTATCCTGAAAATTAGCAAATACTTGTGACCTTCACTTTCAAGATGAAAACCTTCAAACCTTAAAAAAGTATTTAATAAATAATTTTGATCCCCCCTTAACCTCCAAAGACCTATATACTCTGTGTGCTTCCTACTCATCTCATCTTCTACTCTCTCCTTCTTTCTCTCCACTTCTTCCACTCTGACTTTTATATTTCCGGAATGTGGCAGGCATACTTTCACCTCAAGGCCTTTGTACTAACTATCCCATCTTAGTTTTTCTTCCCCAAATATCAGGATATCTCCCTCTCACCTCCTTCAAGCCTTTACTCAAATGCCTCCTTCTCAGGGAGGTCTGTCCTGAGCACCTTACCTAAAATTGTAACCCCAGTCCTGCACACACCTGATTCTCCCAATACCACTTTATTGCCCCATAACATTTTTCCTAATTTATCTGTGCATCCTTTCTCACTGCATGTCAGTTCCATGAGGAGGTAAATTTCATCTCTTTAGTCATATATGCACTGATGGATCCTCATTACATAGAACAATATCTGGTACTTAATAGGTGCTCAATAAATACTTGCTGATTGGAGCTTAGGAAGCAAATCTATTGTAATTTTTGTTTTTTTTTTTAATTTTTACACAGCCTCTTATGCTAGGATAGAGACAACTCCCTATGATTAAATTTTCTGATTCAGTAAGCTGTCAACAAACAATAATTGTGATCTGAATGCAAACCTCTGTTTTAAAAAAAAATAAGTATTAGCTTGAGTGATTTCCAAATAAGGGCTAGGTGAAGAAGTACTACCGAGGTTCACATCAATATTGATTGTTGAATGTACTGTCTAAATGAAATCTTTGTCACTATATATTCCAAGAGTAATATATCTCATCAAACGTGCATATAAAAAAGTTTCCAAGTCTTTACTCTTAGTTCCCAGAACAGGTGTATTTTATTTTTATTACCAATTCTGTATCAGAGAATAGCATAACTCACTGTACCTAGATAAAAACTAAAGACATAAGTCAGATGGTGGTTCTAAAAAGTTTATGAGGGTCATGACATCAATTCTGAAGACTTCCATAAGCACTGTATGGTAAAGGTTATTATAGAAAGGCCTAGTAGAGCTGCCTCTGTGGGTCCATCGCCTGTGCAGTCATGCAGGACCCTGTGCTTATTGCTTTAATGCCCTACTGTTCCTGTCTTGAAATTGTTAATAATACACGAAGAAGGGGCCCCCATTTTACACTTGGTGTGCAAACTATGTAGCTGATCCTGAGGCCCAGGAATACTGAGTACTGACTACTCTCTTTTCCAGGAAATAAGCAGAGGTGGAATGATCAGAAAGGCGTACGGAATTTTCTCTGAGATAGGGAGTTACCCCAGCCGTCTTCCCAGTTCCCACCACGGGAGCAAAGCTGGAGAAATAGTAATAGTGGTGCACTGTTTTGTCACTCCATGTGTGGCCTGTGTTACCAGAGGCAGCGACAGCCCCGGAGATTGTTAAAAAAGCAGAACTACTGGGTCAGAATTTGCATTTCCTGTGCACTTATTTTTATGTTATTTCCTTTCTAAAAATTTTTATATTTTACTTATAGTTGACACTCAATATTATTTTATAATAATTTTAGGTGTCCTGTGCACTTTAAATTTGAGAAACAGCTGAACAGTTCCTAGAGTCATCCTGGACCTGTGATAGTGGACATTGGAAGTCCCCCAGTCTCTCCAAAGGGGATTTTCTCCCCTTCCACCAGAAAATACTTAACTTCAGATGCTGCCATATTAGGACGTTAACTTATTTAAACACTATTTTTGTCCCTTCTAAGGTCCATTCTCTAGAATTGGAGTACTATGAAATGAAATTTTTTGAAGGAAAAACACAAGAAGAAAGCACGAAAATGATGAGCTAAGCCGAGTAGATGGAAAGCAGAGTAACAATAAAATGGGGGAGGGGTAACTTAAAAATTAAACAACTAGCTAATACTGAGCACTTAAAATGTGTCAGGCATCATACAAAGTGTTTTATGGGGATTACTTTATTTAAATTTTACCACACGTTTAAGAAATAGGTGCTATCTCTATCTTTTTGTGCAACTGAAGAAACAGACTTCGAGAGTTTCCAAATGGCCCCAATATAAATACATCGAGAAATTGTGCGCTTGTTCCAACACCGTACGTTTTTCTAACGTACTGCTAAACAAATACCTGCTGAATTAATGTCTCCGTGTAAATTCTCAAACATCATTTCAGAGTTAGTTTCTGAAGGTAAGGGACCGTCGTAGAAGTGACAACAGGATTAAGGTCAAGTTAAATTCAACCACTGCCTGAATCTTCCCATTTGAGATAAAAGACAAATAAAGACTTAATTCTGGAAGTGCGGACCACTCAATAGTCTGTGTGTTCGTGTTCCTGTGTGAAGAAAACTTTTTCTCTAATTGATAGATGAAACCGGAAAGCACGTGGTCCAGTGCCTGGCGTTTCTTCCCCCCAACCGGGAGCGAGAACCTCAACGGTTTGCACCTAAGTGCATTCCCAGGCCCAGAGCAACAGGGACTTGGGGAGTGACAGTCTATAGGACCGCACACCCCGCTCTGCCGCTTTCTCCCCCCGCCCCCCAAACCCCGGGAGGAGGAGGAGCAGAAGAACCGAAAGGAAACGCGCGCGGCTGGGTCCGCGGGCTTCGGAGCCGGCATGGAGCTGCGGGTGCTCGGGCGGCTCTGGCTCCTTTGCTGCTGCTGGTGCTGCGGCGCGGGCCCCGGAGCCGGTCCCGGGGCCACCTTCACCCGGACTGGACCGCGGAGCCGCGAGCGACAGGAGGCCGCCTTCCGGGTACCCAGCGAGCGCCTCCGTGTTTGTTTCCGTCTCGCCCTGTCCTGTCCGAAGTCTGGGCTGGGGGAGAGGGGCCAGCGAGCCCCGCGACTCCCGGGGGTCCCCACGCCCTCAGCTCTGTGGCGCGCTGGGGTTTCAGGGCTGGGATAACACCCGAGAGCTTCTCCCTGCCTCGCCCACGTGGCTGTGTCTCGCTCTCTCCTGTGCCTGTGCTAACTCAAATATTTGATTTTCCACGAAAGTTTGCCGTTGTGAATTTATATAACGCACTCCAAGTAATCAATGGATATGTTCAAACTGTTCTTGATTGGAAGCTCCCACTTTTAGCAGCACTGCTTGGCAGGGATCAGAAATAAGCGGAAGAAACCTGCATTGTTTTCTTCCAAAGGAGGGCGCTGGTAAACTGCTTCTGGAATCAGAACTTGGTAAAAGACCCAGCACTGATTGAGCGAGCTGGAAGAATCTTGCCAGGTTATGGTTTTCGTGTACTGGGCTCCTTAGACTCCTGCTTCTCCTTAAAAGTTCACCAAGTCAGAGCCTTGGTGGAGACTGATTTAGAGAAAGGGAACATTTAATTTCTTTTTCAGTTTATTTTGAAATGTCTTCGTAATTATAGTTAGATTTCACCCCAGCATTAAAACTCTGGAACAGACAGGTTGGCTAAGTATAAATTAAGCTGGTTAGAAAGCTTTGAAACGAACTGTTAATGTCGAAATGACATGTTTTCCCTAGTTTTACAATCATAAGATAATTTCAAGTTCTTTGGTCCTGGATCCTCTTCCAGACAAGAATTGGAATATCTTATTGTAACTCATTCAATTACACACATTCAGTTACAACAAACGAAAACAAAAAATACGTAAAGATAATTATTTTTCACCAAATCTGTTTAAAGGCTTATTTGCAATTTTTTCACTATATTAAAAAAACATATATCTAGTGCTATCAATGGGCTTAGTGAAGACAAGTTACAAATGGATTAGACATATCTTCCCCAGCCTGAAAAATATCCCTGAAAGCAGATAGTATTTCTAATACAAAACATTTACAACTATGATCACATTTTCTTATACAAATCTTTCATTGAGATCTGCTGGAAATAAATCAAGCTTTGACTTTCACACCTGAAGAATATCTCCAAGTTAGTTATACACAAATTGCTTTGGAAAGTTAACATAGGTGATATAAATTACCTTTTTTTTTTCTTTTAGGAAAGTCTTAATAGACATCAATATTTGAATTCTTTATTTCCTAGTGAAAATTCTTCTGCCATCTATGGAATAAATCAGTTTTCATATTTATTTCCTGAAGAGTTTAAAGGTATGATGTAGTGGTGCTATTAGTTGATTGGTTCCTTGATTTTTAACTTGTTTCCTTAACTTTTAAGGGATTGTTGAATTGTGAACCTAGAAAATTGAGTAATAGTTAACAATTTATTAAATGCTAAGATTGAGCATGTCCTAGGTGCTGACAGAAAAAAGAAATGCATGGCCACTCTTCTAATTATTGCATAAGAAATGTTACAGATACAAGGCATTTTTGTGTGGCTGTAAGGGACAGTGAATGCCTCATTCCTTCCATAATTTTTAGTGCTATTTCTATTCAAGTTACCCATGTCTCCATGGGTTCTGACAAAACAAATGATACTAATTATACTCATTTTTATTATTGTCCTGGTTCTTTCAAACAAGTCATTTCATATGGCAGTTCCCTCTCTATTGTAAGAATTCTTATCTTTTGTAGCTTCCATTGAACTTCATTTCATGTTATGGAAAAGCACATAGAAAAGTCGCAAATGGCAGGCTCTACCTGAAAGCTACTGTTTCTGTTTGAAAATTTCCTCCAAAAAGAACCTTCAGAGGTCCTTCCTGGAATGTAATATTGTTGTCTTTTCATTTCATGTTTCTACTCAGCTATTTACTTGAGAAGCAAACCTTTCGCATTCCCCAAATACGCAGCAGAAGTGCCAGAGCTCATCTCCAACATGTCTTTGCCTTTAAGATTTGACTGGAGAGACAAGCATGTTGTAACACTAGTGAGAAACCAGCAGGCGGTAAGTTTTAGGGTTTTGTTTTGTTTTGTTTTGTTTTAAATCACCTTAGCATGGGAAGTCACCTTTGAGGTCAAGTTCAATCAAATTTGTAAGGGAAGCCATCATTTCCTTAGGTAAAAATCACACCCTAATCATTCAAAACATGGCAGTAAGACTGGACTCAGGAGGAGTGGGAGGCAGACATCAAAGCTCGACTTTTATTCTGAGATAAACCATCTTTGATGTGTTCTCTCACTGATTACCATTGCTACCAGCACACTGGCTCAGAGGTGCTTCCCAGCAGCTGTGTGACAGTTACCAAAGATTCTTTAGAATAGCAGATGGGAGGCTGGGGAAAGTAAATTTGGCTACTAAAAGGGAAACAGCACTGAAAAAGTAACATGATACGAAGCACATTTAGTGACAGTGTAACCTGGTCTCTTGGCTTCTCAGGCCTCACCCCTTGAGCTCCAACAGAAAACCCTACCCTCTAAAGGATCTTACACTTTCTATCTGTGACCCTTAAGAATGCAGTCATTTTTGCTATAATGTGACATATACTTACATTCCTAAAAATCACCACCTATGCAAAACCACGCAGGAAAAATGAAAGGGATTATGGGGAAAATGAGGTTAGAGTACATTTAAAAATGTGTCACACTCAGTGACACACTTCAACAAAATAAAGGGTAGTAAAAGTTGCAGCACAGGAAATGTCAGCTGATCAGCAGCCTAACCATGTGGCTGTGGTCTTGATGTATCTGCAACAGATACCGCAACAGGCCGTTCAGCCTCCCCTTTTAAAATTTTTTTTTCAATTACAATTGATACACAGTGTTATACTACTTTCAGGTGTACAACATAGTGATCAGACATTTATATGACTTACAAAGTGATCATCCTGATACATCTAGTGCCAGTCTGACAATGTGGCAAGTATTCTGGACCCTGCAGTTTCTTATCACCATTGATTTAGGGTGATCCTTTTTATTTCCCAGGTTCTATATTTATTGCTGTGAATTACATTTTACCACCAAATCATGGGCTTTGTTATTGGATTCATCATCAAGTGTGGAGTAGTCTAAAATCTAATCCTCCCAGGAATGTCTACATTGTAGTAAGGGGGAACATTTAATTAGGAATCTTTAATTAAAGGACTTACTGGAGAGATATTTTTGAGCAGCCATTGCCATCCTAGGGAAGCCCAAGGGAGCTTAACTAAAGCTGGCTGTAGATGTGGTCTCAGCAGCCTGTATTCACATTTCTCAATGCGTGAAGGTTCTGCAGCCTAGTCCCTCAGTAAATATTTCACTGTGCTGTAGGCACTGGAGATGTAGGCATAAAAGGACAGTTTAATCCATAAAGTTGTTCAAAACTTCACTCCATGAAGACGACAAGTTGTGCTTTCTTTCTTTGTCTAATTCTGCAACACATGGAACTGTGATGAGGTCAGTTCTACCCAATTCCGAATCCCACTCTCACCTCTGCCTTTTCTGGGGTTCTGTCTTTCTTGTGCATGGTCCTTGATTCCATTTGCTCCATCCCTTCCCTTTCAGGACCCATCCTTTTACTCTTTTGTTCCAGTCCGTCCAATAAAAGCAAGCTAATAGATCCAGAATCAGGAAGATTGCCAGCCAACATTTGAATGAAGAATGATGAATATGGGTTCCTACCATGAGGACATTTCATGTGCTTTCATAATATGCACGTGCCGGCATTTGAGAGCTTAAAACAGAACTCATTCAGTTCCTGTGTCCATCAAATAATGAGCACAACATGTGTGACACACATCCTCACCCCACCGCACCTTATCACCTGTGCTGGGGGGAGATGGTGAATGAAACAGAAGCATAGAGTCAGGAGACCCCCGGGATTGGAGAATAGGATGGAATCAGTGAATGTCTCAGAAACAGGTATCACCTGTTTAATGAACTGACTGGTCTTTAAAAGTACCACCAGTCTGTTTTCTGAGTCTCTAAAATTTGCTTTTATCTTGCATTATCTACTTTGCATTAGTGATATGCCAATTTATCTTTAACTAATTGCTGGGTTTTGATACTTAAAAGAGAATTTTGGTTTCATTTTTTTCAATTTGGAAACCAAAAGGATGGCCCTTTATGTTCTTGTAGGCCTCCAGACTCTACTCACTTGGCTTGATAACTTGTGATATTGAAAAATGTTGGCAAACCTGGTTTGAACAGCGCTTGATAAAAAGTGCTATTTTGTTTCTATTTTAAAACAGTGCGGAGGGTGCTGGGCCTTCAGCGTGGTAGGTGCAGTGGAGTCGGCATATGCTATAAAAGGGGAGCCTTTGGAAGACCTAAGCGTGCAGCAGGTCATTGACTGTTCATACAGCAATTACGGCTGCAATGGAGGCTCTACGCTCAGTGCTTTGAACTGGCTAAATCAGGTGACTAGTTTCTCAGCCTTTTAAACTCTTTGCTTCCTCTTTTGCTTATTTAATGTGTGTTCCTAATTCAAACAAGTTTACTCTTGTTTACTAACAATGTTTTTAAGTTTCAAAATTTAGATGACCAAAACTTGTATGAATCAGATTTTAAAATGAATTGCTTCTAGGTAAGTCAGCCATCAAAATCAAAAGGTAGAAAATCTTACCTGAGATCTGTTCACCCAAAATAATTTATGTTTATTTCTGAACATTTCTTAAAAGGTAAATGCTTTTATTTTTCAGATGCATGTCAAATAGTGAGCCAGAAAGAAGAGAGCATATGATTAACCATTTCCATAGAATTTCTGAATATAAAGGTTAAAAGGGACATTATAGGTCAGCTAATTTAGTTACTCATTATATAGATGAAGATGTGAGATTATATTGCAAAATATTGCACCTTATATTGCCAGAATTGCACCTTAAATCCTCCGCTACCTACTGGACATCTTTACCCGCTCTATCCCAGTGTCCCTCAGTGTTCTTAGGATACTTTCTGACATTGTCCTGGATCCAACACAGGCTATGTGAAAGCAGCCAACAAGGGTGCTATTATGCTTTCTAAAACTGAGTTCCCCAAACTCAACTATCCTTCCCTTAATCATTTGCTATATTTGAGTCACTGAATGCCCAAAGCTGCTCTATATAATGGGCACAATGAACTGTTTCTTCTCCCTTTCATAAGCCCAACATTCAGAGAAGGAGGTGTGTGTACATACACCTATAAAATAAGTGTCACATCCCAGATGAAAGGCACAGAGGGAAGAGGATGGAAAAAATGCTTGACCTGACCATTGCCTGAGCATAAACCACTGTACTGAGTGAGTCTCAGAGACTTGCTCATGTAGAACCAGAAGCCTAAAGGAAAGTGGATTGCCCTATTATAATCTCTGAAGAAAGATGACAAGACTTTATTTTTAGATTGATAGAGGTTCCAAGGAAGGAGGATACGGGGAAAAAAAAAACGAGAATAAGAGAGAAAGAAAGATAATGATTCTAATTTCTAGGATGTCCATAATGAACACTTAAAGACTGAATTTAAGATCTTTAATTCCTCAAAGAATACCCTCATGATGAAGGTGTGGCCAAGTTGAATTTTATGTTGACACATTGCAGAAAGTTCTGTTTGACTTCTAAAACAACTGCATGACAGAGAATGAATGCTTTGGGCAATTATTTTCTTTTTATTTTCGTCTTTGAATTTTTTTATTAATGTTCAAATACAGTTGTCTGGGTGATTTTTTTTTTTTCAGACACAGGTAAAGCTGGTGAGAGATTCAGAATACCCATTTAAAGCACAGAATGGCCTCTGCCATTACTTTTCTGATTCACATTCTGGATTTTCAATCAAAGGTTATTCTGTACATGACTTCAGGTAAATGTCTCATGCTGCTGTGATTTTCTTCCTATTTCTTATTTTATGATCTATTGACTATTCAGAATTAATAAGTTGGTTGAAGGCTTCATGCATATTTGTAATTGTTTTCAAACCTACCTTCTACTAGAGAGACTAATTGTCAATCACCATGGAGTGCTAGGGATGTTCTTCCTTAAATACAATCTACGTGGGTGTTAATGTGTCATTATAATAAAAATATAAAGCTCAAATCAACACATTAAATCCAGGTAAAGGTATAATTTATATTTACCACCTTCCTTTTACCAATTCTACATGCTGTAATTACCATTAGTATATTTTAATCCTCCCATGGAATCAATGGAAAGTGGCCTTGAATAGATGCCTAAGCTACTGTCAAGCAGTCTACTTACCAGGAATAATTTCTCGAACACCCACTATGCCCCTTGCATCTCAAGCCATCAACTCTAAGAAAAGCATAAACTGAAACTTCCACATTAGAAACAAGGAGGAATGTATTACTGGAGATAGATTCTGTAGCACACCCTATATTGGCACAAGGGGAGTGAGACGTAGATAAGAAAAAGCTGAGGAAGATGATTTGTGTCAGAGCTTGAAGGGCAAATTGACTTTGGACAGGTTCAGGGGAAAACAACCACTTAAAAATGCTTTCAAATTATATGAAAATCTTAAAGCCTGTGAGAGACCATTGTGACCATTCGATATAGTACAAAATAGATGATCAGAAATGATAACAAAAGAGAAAGACTCAACCCAAATGTGCCTTTATTGTTTTGTTTGTTTTTAAATATGAAGGGAGTTTAGTGCAGTCTTTTGAAACAGAGAACACAGAGAAATTAAATTAAATTTGGATGAGGTGACTGCCCTCTAAGTTACTGGTGCTGAACACGAACAGAAACTCCGCATCCAGATGGTGTCTACCCATGGGACGTGAAGGGAATCAAGGGTGAAATTGGACCCTTGAACAAAATGGAACCCCTCTAAATAAGCATAAGTGTGTCGGAGGACTGGCAGATTGTCAGCACAGCTCCTGTCCCTGACAAGGGCACCCAGGGTGACTGTAGGGACCATGCACCAGAAAGCTTCCATTCCATGGACAGCAGGCCACACTGGATCTGTAATAACATGGGCAGGGTCACTGAGTACAGTGGTCAGCATCTCCTTTGAGAAAGTGTGCCTCTGTGAGCTCTCAGTTCCTTGACAGTATAAATGACGTGTGTGTACAAGAAGGCACAATTTTCAAAATGTCACTAGAAAAGGATTCAGGGAATCCCTTGTCATGGGGTCATGACTGAGAAAGTTAGAAAGAAACAAAAGACTAAGAGGCATTAGTCTGAGTTGGAGAGTGAGTGAGCGTGAGAATCTGCAGAGGTCACTGACATTGGGCCTGAAACAAGGTTTATCCACCCCTTTGATTAAACAGAAAGGGGTCCCTAAAAAATCTCTGTGATCACACTGGACTTTAAACTCTCTGATAATACAATGCTAAGCTAACTGTGATAGATTGTACAAGAAGACCTTCCTTTGACTTATTCATTTATTCATTCAAATACTTACTGAGCTCTGTTTCAGGTTATAGAGATTAGACAGTGAACAAACAGACAAAAATCCTTCCTTGGGACTATATTTTAGTGATAGAGTCAGGCAACAAACAAAACAATGTATGGCATGTTAGATATAATAATTTCTAAAGAAGACAAAGCAGTGGATTATCATAGATTACAATTTTTTTAAATTGAGTATAATAAAATATATATTATACACTAAAGCTTATGCTAAGAAAAATTAGTTTATTAGATAAGTCAGGAATGGGGGAAGGAAACAATTTTTTTTGTTAACTTAGAGGAAAATGTGTTAGGCATGCTACAAAGTTTATACCTATAATTTTATCCTTATATTGATTCTACAAGGTAGATGGAATGACTCCAGACTATAGCTGGAATTTGAACCCCAGTATGTAGAACTTCAAAGTCTATACCCCACCATGATGCCTTTTAAGAAATTATATAATTTTGCCTGTTTCAGGGTAATGCTAGTGAATACTAATTACTATTACAGTGACAAAAATTAGAAATGGCTGGTCATAGATTCCCAAAAAACATATCTTCAAGTTAAAAGGTAATGAATAAATGTGTAGAATAAATGTGTAGTTTCTATTTCAGTCATTTCTACTATTAATCATTCATTTTTCCCCCTCATCTGTGGGGAAAATATTCTCTTGATAGGAACTGATGTCTAGTTGGGCATGATGAAGGATTATATACTCTTTCAAGCCACTAATCCACCCATGTCTTGCTGCAGCAGTAATCTACCAAATACTATCTTCATGGCCGGATATACCAGTAACTTGGCCATAGTGCCCCCCCGCCCCAAAGCTGACCTTTAAAAATGTAAATAATGGTTTACTCACATACTTTCAAGATCATCTAAAAATTTATCATTAGATGTCCATGTGTAGAGTGTGGAAGCAATAACTGTGTCTTTGCAGTCTTCACAATCTAGTACTAGTTCTCTGGTGTCTTAACATTTCTTCTATCATATAATATATTTGCCACTTTGGGATAATCTTTTGCTATAATTTCTGTATTTGACATTCACTAACATCAGTTGATCAGTCTCTTGATTTTCACATGGTATGGCAGAGATATTTCCATGCATCCCCTCTTTCCACTTTCCTTATTAAAAGAATCTTTATATTATAGCTGGATACTTGGCCAGCCAGCTTGTTGCAAAACTTCATTCACCATCTTCCTTGAAGCTAGACTTAGCCATATGACTGAATTCTAGCCAATGAGATCCATGCAGATATATGCAGAATGTGTGTGTTACTTCTGGGAAGTCTCAACAGGGATATAGCACCTCTTCCTTCTACTTCCTGGTGTGTGAAATATGTGTTAAATGTCTGGAGCCCCATGTGGCCATCTTGGACCATTAATTGACCTTGGGAATGGACACCTCACGTGGCAGAATAATAACATAAAAGGAGCCTGGGTTCCTGATATCCCGTAGCCCCACTGCAGCCCTAGATTGCCAATATCACAGACTTCTCTAGCCTCCATTGTTTAAGTCTTCTGTAATTGCAACCAAACCTACTTGTATTCATACAAAAATTAAAGAGATCATTTTTATAAAATATTCTTACCTTAAAAACTAAACTCCTTAAACAAATACTTTCTCTTTTGGTAGTGACCAAGAAGACAAAATGGCAAAAGCGCTTCTTACCTTTGGTCCTTTGGTAGGGATCGTAGATGCCCTGAGCTGGCAAGATTATCTGGGAGGGATCATTCAGCATCACTGCTCTAGTGGAGACGCCAATCATGCAGTGATCATAACTGGGTTTGACAAAACAGGTGAGTGCTGGCAAGACTTGATTGATTGCTTTCTAGCTTAGGGTGATGGACAAATGATTGCCATCCTTAAAAAGGTTAAAATTTGATCTTCTTATGTCTAAGTCCTCCTACCATCTTTACAACTTTTCAAAAGACTTCTGGGGACAAATGACCCCAAGGTGCTTCTGCCTATCAATTTTGGTAGATAACTTGTTTGAATGATGATCATTATTGATTTAAATAATGTGCATTTTCCCTCTGGAGTGTTTAAGATAATTGTTGGGAAAACAGAAGTGCCTTTTATTTTATCACATATATTTAACAATTATTTTTATTTTCCTTTTTCTAATTCCCTGGAAATACGTGTGTGTTTTCATTTTATGCAGGCCCCACATTAAGTGAAATGAATTCAAACATATTTTTTCCATTATTTGGAGTGTTGACATAAGTACAGCTCAGGTTTACTTAGCTAGCTTAAGTTAGCATTCTGTTAGAGTTTCAATTATTCTCTCAAAGTTGCTATATTGATCAAGAAATACCATTTAAATTAACATGCATTAACACCAGTATGAGTTTCTCAGGTATGTTAGCTTGTTTTGTTTTGTAGGAAGTACTCCATATTGGATTGTGAGGAACTCATGGGGAAGTTCATGGGGAGTGGATGGCTATGCCCATGTCAAAATGGGAGGGAATATTTGCGGTGAGTCATGAATTGATGTTGAAAACTTCGAGCTAAATGCCAAAAAAGATACTCTGAATATATTAAAATTGCAGGCCTGTCCAGTTCATAGTATGCTTCCAACGTACTCAAATCACTTTTATAGTAATAATTTTTCACTTTAGCCGATTGATAAAAATAGTTGTATAAATTATTTTATCGCCTCAGTTAATAAGTCATGTTGGGTTATACTGTAGTTTCTTGAAACAAAATATTAGTCATATCCTCTAATATCTGCTTTTTAGGTTGCCATGTTTATGTTGAGAGCTGTAACTGTTAAATTATTTCCTTTTTAATTTTTCTGAACCCAAGTGAAACTTGGGTAGATGCTAACTTTTTCTGAACCCAAGTGAAAATTGTTTTGTTTTGTTTATGGACAAGGCATATAAAGAGAAAATAGACGCATTCTAATAATTTCTTTTTTTCTTCTCTTAGGTATTGCAGATTCTATCTCTGCCATATTTGTATGATATATTGATCGGATCAAGAAACAACCACAAAAATGAAGGTTCATAATGAAATGTAGCTGGTACTGCATTCTCGGCATTATTTACCTTTAGGTTTTAGCAAATACCCACAAAAGTTTCTAGGGCCTAGTAGCATTTAAACTAAGTTCTAGAATGTTCCCTTCTTATGTGGAGACATGGGCAACCATAGTCATTTGGAAGAACACCAGCACTGAGACCTGAGAGACAGTTTCCTATGCTGGACTGAGTCTCAAATTAGGCGATATCTTAGATCTCTTTATTTTGAAGAGGCTATTACGTGGTTTTGTTTGATTGCTGTTTTGTTTGTTTTTTATGTTTTTATTCTTAATGTCATACTTCAAGTAGAATTAAAGAGGTGATAAGATGTCTTTTCCTTTGTGGAATATAACCACTGCATTAGCTTACCCGTATATACAGGAATAGCCAACCTAAAATTATGTGTGCCTCTCACAGTTATACTCTCACCCTCTGAGATTAAATTTTATAAGGATTTTGAAATACCAATAGCTTTACCTTAACAAATAGCACTTATTCCTTAAACTGCAGAGAGACCATGTAGTCAGAAACAAAAGGACAAAAATCACTTTTTTACAAGGTTAAAATAAAATGACAATAAATTATATGGCAACTGTGTGATAAGAAAAGCTCAAGTAGCATTGCCTGAGAGACAAATTATTTGGAAATTTTCATTGTCAAGAAGATTCTACTAGACTTCATTTCTTACTTTGATCTCCCTATAATGAAAGACAATATATTTTTCCATATTTTCCCACTCTCTTTCTCTTACTCTTTACTGTGATACTCCTAAGTGTTCCTGGTTGTTTGACTTCCCTGGCTAAGAAGCCTCATTGTTTATTTTTCACTTCTATTCTACAACTATATATTTTGTTCTTTCTAAGCCACAAACATCAAGTTCTCGCCTTTCTCTTTTTCCCATTATTTGTAGGTAATATGCCTTTCAAAGTCTAATGTCATTAATCTGGGGTATCAGCTAGAATGCGAGTTTCTCAGGCTCTCCATTTTCCCAGTTTCCTGCATATGCTTCCCAGACTCCCATTCTAACTACTTTGCTGTGCACCTGTTTGGCTTTCACCCAGTTCTTAGTTCTTCATGCCCGTGTTCCTTGCCTAAATCATCATGTGTGGCTGGGGAACAACCTCATAGCATAAGAGTTGATCTTTTGATTGTACAACAGTATTAAATGTTACATGAGAAAATCTAATCAAAGACTACATATGTAAATATTTTTTCTATAAAATTCATGGTTGCTTCTCCCCCGCCTCCCTAATTTTTACTGAATTTCTTTGAGGTGACACTGATTAACAAAATTATACAGATTTCAGGTGCACAGTTCTACAACACAACATCTGTACACTGTATTGTATGTTCACCACCCCAAGTCAAGTTTCCTTCCATCACCATTTATTGTCCCCATACCCCCCTTCACCTCCCCCATCCACGCTCCCACTGGCAATCACCACACTGTTGTCCATGGCCATGAGTTCCTCTTTCTCTCTCTCCCTCTCTCCCCCCCCGCTCAATCCCTCCAGATTGCTTTCTAATGTAAAATATATTACAAAAGTGAAATTCTAAATGTAGAAGCAACCACTAAAAAAATTGAGGACATCCTGCTTTTTATTTCTCTTTTGGTTTGTATCTATCCTGTTTATTAGAAATGAAAATCAAAAACAAAACACTATACTTCTTTTTCTTACACCAACCAGAACCAATCTCAAAAGAATATGTATTGACTTAGGTTTAGATATGTTCCAGGAAGCTAAGCATTGATAGCTTAATGGGTTAATATTCTAATTATTTAAGTATGCCAAACGGAACTAAGTTCGTGTTCATTTACTGATTTCTGTATAATGTAAATGCTTTTATGATACTCTTAAATGCTAAAAAATTTTTAAAATTACAAAATGATTAATACCTCACAACTGCTCTGAATTTGATGACATTTATAATAAAACAGGCTTGATTTGACTTTGTGTTAAGAAGACTATTTCCAGAAGTGTGTGGCTTATATTTGTAAACACAGTATAATGTGCTTCACATTCACCCAAGAGTTTGCTCTGTTCCAAATCCATGTACTTCATTTTCGGTTTTCTCCATACACACCTTAACCTCAATGTCAGAAAGAAAGAAAGAGAGAAAGAGAGAGAGAGAGAGAGAGAGAGAGAGAGAGAGAGAGAGAGAGAGAGAGAAAGAAAGAAAGAAAGAAAGAAAGAAAGAAAGAAAGAAAGAAAGAAAGAGAAAGAAAGAAAGAAAGAAAGAAAGAAAGAGGAAGGGAAGGGGAGGGAAGGGAAGGGAGGACTGCTACACCTCCTAGAGTCTCTTTATTAAACAGCATCATCATTAAGTAATCACCCAACTGATAAAATTAAGGGAAATCTCCTTAGATACTTAATCAGGCCAATTATACCTTAGTAACCAATCACCTGGTCACCTGCCTCCTCTCCATTTCTACTGTTCCTTTTTTGATGCATGTTCATAGTATCTCATCTCCACTGTTGAGTAGTGTACCCAACCCTGACTGGTATGGTTCAGTGGGTTGGCTGTACCTAATAAACCCATGTTCTTTAATCCAATGGTTCTCAAAAGTGTAGTCCCCAGACCAGAAAATACCTGAGGATTTGTAAAACCCTTTGTTTTAATAAGCCCTCCTGATGATTCTGATTGATGTCACTATAATCCACCTACTCTGTGTTCCTTGGATTTACATTTCTTAAAGACAATGGTATTGTGTTATTCCCCTGTTTAAACCAGAGACTCCCCGATGCCTAAAAGATAACATGCCAACTGTTGCAAATGAGAGCTCCTTCTCAGCTCAACCTCTGCAGTTCTATGTAGGCATCTGCTGTGCTCCAGCCATCACAAACTACTTGAAGTTCACCCACTGAGGCTAAGACAAAGCAATGAGACCTACACATAGTAATTAGCCTTCACAATGAAAACCATCAAGACATTCCTGGGGGTGATTTCACAACCATGTCAAAGTGAATTCTAAAGTAGGCAACTTTACAGTGGCTTTGTGATCCATTTAAGAGTTGTTATGTAAAGTGGAATGTCAGCACTAGAAGCAAGTTTGAACAATGGCAAGGGTAGAACATGGCATTGCAAATTGTTTTGACATGGACATGAAGAATTACTGATATATCCTTTGAAAAAAGTCCTTACAACTATATAAGTTTCGAACACCAAGAAATATAGATAAAAATTAAATCAAATGATTTAGTATGTTAAAGGAATAAACTTTGACAAAATAGCATTTATTCCAAGATTCCAAAGCATCTTGGTGACAGAACATCTATTAACATATTTTTCATTACTTGAGGAGAAAAACAAAGAATGTAAGTATTTTTATCCCCATGATAAATAGATAGGAAATGGGCTTAAACTGGTGTTTGCACCAAAGTAGACAGTTACTAAATGGCAGTGCCAGGATGTACTGATTTAGCCACCCTGCTACTCATCACTTTTTGCAGTCTAACTACCATGAGGTACTGTGTACATGGGTACATGTAGGAGACCATTCTGCATGGCGTGGGCCCAGCTCCCACTCGGAGATGCACAGGACCCATGCCCACAAATAGGTTCTCCCGTGGGGAATCAGGCCTGCAAAGTGCCTAGGCCACTTTGAATATTACTCTTGCTAAAAAACTCCCTACCCTGAATTGAGGACATTTACTATAAAGTAACTTCCTGAAATCCATGCTAAACCTTCCAAGGAGGAGTGTAACCAGTTCAACTACTTTTCCCTTTTCATTTGCAAATATCTCTCTTCTGTGATGTGATTAGCAGCACTGACTCCTTTGTTTTCTATAAAAGGTAACAACCTAAAGCGAACCTGTGCATAGTAAATGAGGACCATCATGTAATGTGCTGAGAAACCCAATAAAGGCAGGTCATGGCAAGGGCCAAGGCTTTTGCTCCCCCTGAAAGAAAAGCCATGTTGTCCCTTTTCCTCCACTGGATTTGGTAGTTTGTGTGAATGTCTCATTTTATCCATAATGACGTGGACACTACAGGCCGGTGTCTGCATCAGGTATGCACACCATGCACAGGGCCACGAGGGCACAAACAATTCACTGTAATTTAGAGATGGGCTGAACAAGATGATCTTCATAAAAAAAATGTGTAGTTGACAGTAAAGAACAGTTCAATTCCAACAAGAGCTTGCTACTTACTATGTATAAAATTATCTAGGTCAACGTCAATGTAAGTTTTAGATTCCTTTGATAATATTGTGTATTCTCATAGCAAAAAATTAAGTGTTGCCAATATCCAGGCCAAGCCAGTAAGAGAGAACTAAAGCTCATATCTGATCTAAACTTCAAGTCTAATGGTTATTAGAAATGAACTGAGTCGTTGCTTAGTCTCTTTTCCTCCCCTTTCTTCTGGAAAGAACATTCTTCACTTGAAGGAACTCTCATTCCTGCCTCACTCTTGTGAATTTGAGTAAACTGTCCCTCCCAGACCACAAGCATTAGAGCTGAGAAGAGTTCCTTTGCCCTTCTGGGAGTTCAGAGGTGCTAAAATTGAGTCCCAGCCTGAGTGAGGAAGAGTGGGTCTACATCAGGGAAGACTAAACCCTACACCTGCACAGAAGAGATGAGACACGGAGGAACCACAAAGTGTTCCAGGAGCACTGTACTCTAGGAACTGGGTCTATCCCAATGGACTTGGAGCTCCCAGGCTCTCTCAGTTACTTAAGCTACTGGAGTAATTGTCAGGTAAACCCCCTTTGGGCAGGCTTCACAAATGCAAGGAATGTTTTCAAAACACCACATTGCAGAAAGACTAATTTTTGTTACTTCAAAATCTTTTTTATTGAATGTTTGTACAGAATCACACATTTTACTGCATAAAATATTTGAAATAGTTGAAGTTTGCAAGCCTATGAAATGTGAAACAATGAGAATGATTACATGAAATGGCTACATTAAGGTAAACATCAGGGGACATCAGGTTTTTAATAGGAAAATACCCTATGTACAACATTAGAATTTAACTGATTTAATTTCTTATTTCAATGTCTTCTGCCATCTCAAAAGTACTTAATCTGATCACAACAAATGAAGTAAAATTATTTCGGAGGTTGAATCAGAGCACCGCAGTGCTTAACTACGTGTATACATATGTTACATTAGCACTCTGTGTTCATGGAAATTCATAGAAAAAATGCAGAAATCTGTGTTCTTCATAGATTGTTGCAGACAGTTTTAATCTGAGTCTTCACTGCTGAAGTAAGAGCTGTCACAACACTCAGCCGTGTACAGGAATTTATGAACAAGTGGGTTCATCTTCGGTATCCAGTGTCGGGGAACCAGATATGTTGACAGATTGAATAAATCTACAAATACTTTGTACCTGTCACTGGAAAAAAACACACACAGATGTTTTAGATTTGTTGAAATGAAATATTTAGAACTTTTCATCAAAACATTTCCTCAGATAGTATTTTGCCATAAATAATTAGTATTCAATATTGTATGTTACATGTTGTATATATCACATGTATTACATTAAGTATTGTTAGCATTAAGGTTGCTCCATTTTTATTCTGTATCCAAAGTCCATGCCCATAAAACCGTATTACATGTTTCATTGATCTTGACCAGGCAGGTTCAGAATATAACTTAGTCTCATTATTGTCCTGTTTCTGACCTTTAAAGGACAGTATTCAAAATAATGAACTTAAAGCATTCAAAGTTTTTAGTTCACTGGATAATATTCCCACCTGCAAAGTAGCTGCCAAGTAACTGACATAAATGGATTAAAAAATAGAAATGCCATCTTAAGATTCATAGTAAATGTTCATCAGAGTGCTTATAACACTAAAAGTCGCTTCTGTGTTTGTTAGTCCACTATTGTAACTGTTGCAGTTTTATAGCAGAAGAGCATTGGCCTTTAAAGTCAAATTTTGGTTCAAATCCTGTTCTGTCACTTGCGAAACTTTTTGTCAAAAAAGTCAAAGAAGTCTTTGTCTTTACCTCACTGTGGAACGCAGGTAGTGGTAGCCGGAGGACCCACCAGTGCCGGCTTTGCTGCCCAGCATCCTGTGCACCAGGCACACGTGGTTATCTAGGTAAACACACAAATTAACTCCATGGATACTTTTCTGCTATTAGTTCCCCAATGTTCTAAAAGGAAAGGGTCAATAATGGCTATTGCTTCTGAGAATGGGGCTCATGCCTTATCACTTAGCCATATGGAACGTTCACCTGTGAGAGCCAGATGAGGCCCGCAGGTTGCCTGGCACCCCACTTGGTTCAGAATCCTATTTGTCTCCAACCATATTTACATTTAGTCTGCGAACACAGTAGGGGAGAGCAGGGCCATAGTATGATTTTAATGAGCTCCAGTCATTTTTCTTTATGGGTCTCTTCCTCCATTAAAAAATACTAAAATTATATTTTTAAATCATATTGGCAGAAAGATGAATAAGTTACTATTATATAGTAAAACATTTATTTGGACCTAAAATGTATTTTTTCCTTCTGATTATCAAATAAAATATTTTTATGGGCTCCCAAAGTCACGCTGGGCTCCAGGCATTGTGCCTTTTTGTATATTGGATAAGTGGACCCTAGGAAAGAATAATTGTCAATTTTTTTTTAACAACTCACACTAAAAATATGGGAGAGAAGAGAGCAGGAAGGAGGGCAGATGGAGAAAACAGGTAAAGGAACAAGATCGAGGAGAAGAGTTGTGGGGTGGGGATGAAGGGGAAGACTTACATCTCCATTTGGTCAAGAGTGTGTCCATGTCCATGAGGGAAGTCAGCAACTGGAAAGGGATCTGGAATCTAGGTTCCTCCCTGAAGGAGAAATAAGAAATTTATTCAAGCAAATCTAGTGTGTTGGGAAGAACATGACTCTCATAATCTCCTGGCCCTTAAAACAAATGTCAACTTTGCTCTGAGAAGCTGTGGCATCTCTGAATTACCCAATCAGTCTTAGTTTCTT